AGGCCTGGTGCTAGCCAGTAACGTGTACTTCTTCATACACACGGTCCTCAACATCACGGTGTCGTCCATCCGCACGGCTCGGGCCCGCCATGGCGCCACCTACTCCCAGCTCCAGGCCTTCCTCAAGATCTCCACCCTCATGGGGCTGGGCTGGATCATCGGCTTCGTCGCCGCTGGAACTCAGCAGGACGCCCTGTGGTGAGATCCGCTTCCCGCTTCTGCAGATTAGACCCCTGCAGGCTGCCTCTTGGCTGCTTTTCTGTTCATTTTTCTTTAGCCTGTTAACCATCCATATCTAGCTGGAACAGGTAGCTAAGTGCGGATAGATAAAAGGCTGTACATGTTTTTCTTTGGCAAGAGTTAATTAAGCTTGACCAGTGTACCGACCATTTTGTATATTTTTCCCAACACAAAAAACACATGTAAATTTAAATCAAAAGTCACTTAATGTTTGATTTTAACAGTATTGAAAATGATGTACCCCTTTTATTACAAATATGTCTACCTCTATTGTGATCAACTTTCTGTTTGTCTTCGACAGGCTCTCTTTATCATCATTACTATCTACTGCCTCCTCCTTCCTTCATTATCCCTATATAGGAACGTCACAGTTCTTTTTTTTCAGGTACATTTTCATCACCCTGAACTCATCACAGGGTTTCCTCATCAGTATCTCCTTCATGGCGACGCCCCAGGACAAGGCGAACGACAACAAACGTAAGGGACGCGCCAGCATGGTGGGCGGTAAGAACCGGTCTCCCTTTCCCGGCGGAACCCATCAGAACCGGCTCCAGGTGTGCCGAGCTAATCACAGCATCAGTACCGCTAGTAACGTCACAGATGTGTCATCAGCGAGCATGAGCATGAGCATTGAGCGCAGAGACGACTCTAAAGACACGACTACTGTAACTGCAGAGGTGACAGCTGTGGAGCTCAAGGACTTGTCCTGTAGTGTGCCTAGTCAGGATAATAATGTTCATATCCACAGTTCTAAACAAACCTTATTACATTAGAGTCCTCTTAGGCCCTGCCTTTTGTTGTAACCTTACCACACTGAGTTACATGTAGTCCTTGTGCTACTAATTCTCCATTGTTTACGGGTTTAGGCAACAGGAACAAGGACTTGGGTAAGATACATTGTGTGGTGCTGTGAAAAATTTACGTTGTGTGCTTGCTTGTACATTATATATTTATCGGTATGTATTCAGGAATATGTAACAAAACTTGCAATATATTGTGACTATTTACTTATATTCTAAGGGTCGTTTTTCCAAAGGAGGGAGGGGGCAGAAAAACAAAGGCAATGTTTAAAAAACACAAGTTTATTTACAATTCATTTTTCTTAACAATTACAGTGATATCCACGTTAACATAGTTGACATGGTAGAATATTTTTTGTGCAACTGTTCCTATGGTTGAGCTTGGCAGGATCTTTTACTATTGCAAATTACCTGCCTGTTTCCCCCTCATCTGCCTTTAAATAGCAACAAGATATACTTCAGTCACACAGAAGGATGTTTCAGAAGCTGGAGACAAAAACTTCCAATTAATTTCTGATCAACAAATAAGCAAAAGCTGTACCTGTCCTTCGTGCTTACCATCTATATTGATAGCTGAAGGGTCCTGTCCTTGGTGCTGAACACACCATCTACATAGCTGAAGGGCCCTGTCCTTGGTGCTGAACACACCATCTACATAGCTGAAGGGCCCTGTCCTTGGTGCTGAACACACCATCTACATAGCTGACGGGCACTGTCCTTGGTGCTGAACACTCCATCTACATGGCTGAAGGGCCCTGTCCTTGGTGCTGAACACACCATTCAGCTGAAGGGGCCAATGAAATCAATGCACCAATTCCACACTGTATTGAAATACATGGCTAAGTCACAAGCCTTAGAATTTACTGTGAATGCAGAAACTTTTGCAGTGGTTTTATTTTTGCAGTAACCTTGACCCAAAATCATAACACTGCAAACTATTACCATAAAATAAACCAACGACAAAGGTAAATACATCTACAGTAGAGGCCCCCTAGCTTGGTGTTTGGTCCCTGGGGGAATAGGGTAAAAAAGGTAAGGTAAAAAAAGCAGCCTTAGGGTAAGAAACTAGATGTACCAACTTAAAGGTAACATGGTAATTAGAATTGGTGGCTGAAGTGTGCATAAGCAACAGTAAATCGAGACTGAAGTGCACATAAGCAACAGTAAAGCAACATCTTGAATGCTGACAAGGTCAGCAGAAAAAAAATGTTAGGCCACACCGATTTAATTTTATGGATGACATCGTCTGAAGACCCCCAAACTAGTGCGCACGGGCGAATAAAAAAAAATTCCGGCCCAAAATAAAAATGCCACTAAACCACAGGAATACAAAACTGGTATTGTGAATTTGTGACAGTACTTAGCAACGTATACGACATGCTGGCTTTGCGGCATTTATGAATCGGTACTGTACTTACATACTGATCATGAGTTCTTGAGTCGCGGAGCTTCGAATCCCATAGCCTGGGTGCTCGGCTCCGTATTGTTGCTGACTACCATGGACTACCCAGGTCTAGAGCCAGAGCCTCGGTGGAGGTGATCTTTTTTTTTTTTTTTTGGAGGGCGACAGGCGAAAATCAATGCGCGCACGGATGTCATCCACAGAATTAAGTCAGTGTGACCTTATGCACAGAAAATACTTCTGATCGTCTTTGAGATTTTAGGGGCATACATGCACAGTGAGAGACAACCCTCAATGACACCAATCATTTCTATAACATTACAGAAAGTAAAGAAAAATATAGGTATATAAATTTTTTTCATTGATGATTTAACTCTGAAATGATTTGTGCAACAACTAAAACATTTGTACACTAAAAAAACTGTGATTTACCATATGATTGCACACGACTTACAATTCCACAGTGGAAGACCTGTACAGTACCTTTAACTATATGACAATAACATTTTTCACATTCACGTGAACAAAATTTTCAAAGGGTTAGAAAATGTTTATACACCAGCATAACACCAGACTTGCACCTGGAAGTAAGGTCACAGACCCAATCACTATAGATTTCTTCAGAATGTACGACACTCAAAATTGTACCAAACAACCTGCCATGGTTCAATTTGAAGTACTAAAACACTTATATATATGCATGTAATTATATATACATGTATATTTATGCAAAAGTGCAACCAAACTACATAACGTGAGACTTGTAGTAAGTACGATTCTGTGACATTGGGTGTACATAATCACCATTCTCAGAGTAGTCGCAAGTTATGCTACACATCTAGTAGCACTTTAAACTTAGTAGACACATTTGTAGGTACCGGTATTCACTTTTCACCTGAACTGGCTTTTCCTTCTTAAAGCAACAATAATTCTTCCTGTTCATTTTACATGTTTTCCACATGTGTTGCAGATGTATATAAGTCATCAACACACAGTATGGTTATGGACTACCTCCTGTAAATATCAATGGTGGATGTACATGTACTTCTACCAGGTAGAACGGCCAGTAGTCTTCTCCTGAAGAAAATTCTATTACTCATTGTATACCGGGTAATTTGTAAAATCATTTCTAAGATTTCAAGTTGCCTACATAGTGTCATGTTGGCCCATAGCACCATCATCACTGAAAAAAGGGTGCAAGCAACATTTTCTGCCTACAGAAAACATACCCCTAATTATCATCTTTACAGATTATTCTTTGGTTATCATTAATTTGTAGTTCTATACATGTACCCCTGCTAGCCAGTGGTATGTTAATCCTCACTATGTGGGTTGAGGCAAAAGGATTTATAGTAGACACAGATCCACTGAAGCAGACAATAGTTTCCATGGATACTACCTTGATGCTAATGTCCTTGGTATGGCTCCGTCAGCCTGATCTCCACTCCGTCTGTCACAGGCAGGTTGTGGTACTGGTAGTGTCTCAGTAGGTCAGACATGGACGAAAACGTTGGTGCACCCTTATGCAGGTACAGCTGAGAACCCTGACAGGAACAAAACAGAATAATAAGCTACAAACAATGTAGTGGCTTGAAAAAGGGTCTCATAAACTAAACTTTGATTAGTTGTCCCTACAAAAACACAACTCTCACATCCAGATAACATGTCGTCATGCATCAGTAAGTTGCTGTGAGATGTTTGTAAAACTTGAGGTTGTGAGTCCATTTTGAGCATATTGTTACAGTAATATTTCCAAAAGCCTTAAGTGAACAACATTCATCTAGTACTCTTTTCAAGAAGGGTGACAGTTTTTGGTATGAAGTAAATTCATTTGGTACATTACAGATAGGACAAGTGCCTCACAAAATTTTAAAAATGCAGAAAAAAGGTACCACTCCCATCAGTCCAACTCACCAATCCATACATCTTGAATTTCCGGCACTTCTGACCAGCACAATCATACACTACAAGAACCTGCAAGAAACAACAGAATGTGTTTTTTTCTGACACTTAAATGTAGAGAATATGCTTCATACTAGCATAAAATATGCCTCAAATGTGCATAACCTGACACAAATATCTATGTGCCCCAGTGCACCCACAGTCAAGAACTAGGTGCACAGCTTCAATTTTGGAGGACTGCAACCCAGGATTTCAACACATGAAGTTGTGATCGAAAAGCATCATTACCAACTACAACAAATGTATTATCATCAATAAACATAGGGTAAACCTACCATTTTCCCTTTGTCCTGTTTGCTTGGCCTGAGAAAATACTTTCCATTCACCTGGCCTGACCTCAAACAGCTGTAGTGGGAAAAGACACAGGAAATACACAATCATATGTTACCCACATGAAGTGAAAGGGTTTAGCAAACTTCAGCAAACACATAGCATATTTAACATGGATCATCTAAAAACATAGTTTATTAGAACATTACCAAGAAAAAGGAATGTCTGTTTGATTACAGAGTTTGTTGGATGGCACTTCAGCACCTGTAGCTAATTTAACTTCAAACAACATATCTGTCTTCCTCACACAATTACTGTTGCCTATTTCAATGAAAAACCCACTCCCCTTGATCCTTCTTACTCTGTGCCCCAAAAGACTGGTACCATACAGACTAAAATTACCTTTCTGCTTTCTCTACATCAACATCATCGGATACATCAGCTGGCATGACATCATCAGTCTATTATGGAAAAAGTACAAAACATATGTCACAAGCACAGGTTAGTTGTGTTTTGTCCTCTTACTAAACAATTAGGAATATATGACGAAATGAACCAAAAATTTCTTAGTTCTCTGTACTTCTTTGAATCAACCATGCATGACTTTGAACTAGACATCTTTTATCAGGAGAGCACAGAAACACACACTGAATACAAATGTATTTGCATGGCAAGAAAGGGATAACGTGTGCTCCTTCACTTTAACGTGTGCTCCTTCACTTTATGCACATAACATTAGACAATGATCATACTTACTTCACTTTCAGGATTTTCATTAAAGTTCTTCTTGGAAAAGCTGTTGCCCTCAGGGGGCGTCCTCCTGTAGGGAGAAGTACTTGTCTCAGTCAGGTTTTTACCTTTACACTTTATTAGGTAACATTCTGGCACACAAAGAGGGGTTTGTGTCTAACCTAGTTTCTTCGGTTGTACGGTGGGTGGGAAATGATTTTAACATATGATTGATAGGAAGGTCAAGCCTGAAGCTGACCCAACACGTGCTGCGTAGGAATAAGTGGGCAGAGGAATCCAGGTGTATTAAATACCGAATGAACTACACCATGCAATCCAAAACACCTCCAGGGTCTGTGAACAACAAGTTGTCTCAGGTTGAAGCATTGAATGTTTTGAAGGTATTTTGTTTCTATCACGTTTCCAATATAAAAGATTTATACCTGATTCCTGGGTCTTCTACAGGCTCCTCCTCCTCCTCATGTTCATATCTGTCCTCCATGATCCCCTGAACTTCAACCTGAGATGGGGAGTAACAAACAAATGGTAAAAACATTTAAGATAACCCTAAATTTTAAGTTGCACCCATCTTTAGATATCAACTGAATGTGTTCATGGCATTCTTGTTAACACTGCTTGTTTAGAGTGGTGGTCTTGGTGAACCCTCAGGATTATGAGAGTTGACGTTAAATTAACAAATAACATGATTGTATTATAAAGAGTCTGACATTTTTTTTTGCCAAGGAAGGGCAAGAATCAAAAGGATGCATAACATAGAAACCCACAGAAAAGTTTGTATCCTGGATCAAAACAAACCTAGTCTAGCCCAATTTTTATGGGTTCACCACAAAGTGGTGAAACCATATTGCTTTTTCTCATGATTCTCCTCCTTCTTCTTCTCCTCCTGCCATTTCTTTAAATGGATTCAGCTTCTTCATTTTGGGGCCTAAGGACCTGAAATTTGGTATGGAGGTACAGTAGGCAAATACCCCCAGGCGTTTTTTTAATTTTTGTGATACAGGCTTTTAGAATGGTTTTATTTGAGTTTTTTGGCTGTGTTATAGCAAATGTATTACTGAGTTAGTGTGCAGTGTTACCACATTTGGGCATGAGTCATCACAATGGAATGCAGGGCATCAACCAATAGGCATGCAGCTTTCCTCTATTCTCCTTGCTGATTGGCTGTTGGAATTTAACAGGCTTAACTTAATTAATACCTGCACAGAGCCATTCCATACTGACAGTAGGTCTGTATTCAAGTGTTTTGGTAGGTATTTTAAGCTTTCCTGCTCCAGCATTGGAATGCGGGGCATGAACGCTTCTTTTTTCTTGAAAATCAACAGTTTGCATTATGCAATTAAAAATCCTAACCAATAATGTAGGGAATAGCTATCCAACTGTTGTAGTCTTAGTTGTATGTTACTTCATACAGCTATAGTTATATCAATGTAAAGCATTGTTTTCCCTTGTGTTTCTCATTCTTTCCCTGCCATGTCGTAAAATGTGGTGAAGCCATTGCTGTATTTGCTCCAAAGCAAATGTCGGCCTTTCTAGTATTATTATGAATTCCTAAATGACAACAATACTGCCAATGCTCACACACCTGTGGCTTGTGTGGTGGCACCAGGGGTTTCATGCCTTGCCGAGAAGGATGTCCTGGCTTTGGTGCCAATCCTGGCTTTGGAGATGTTCCTGGTTTGGGTGCAAGGCCCGGCTTTGGATGAAGGCCAGGTTTCGCTGCAGGAACTGGTTTATCTGGAGTTCTGGGTTTAGCTGTTCCTCCTGCTGCTTGCCAGTTACTCCCAAATTTTTGGGTCATTTCTGCAGCAAGAGCTCTGGCCATGCCTGACTTTTCTTTCTTCTCGTCCTTTACGTCTCTTCCTCTCCCTTCTCCAGTCTCTCTCTGCCCCACTGTCTTCCCAGCTGTCCAGCCTGGACTGGTGATGTTGATGGGTTCACTGGCCTTTTTCACACCAGGTCCTTTAAGTTCTTTCCAGGGAGGAGACGGCACTTTGCCCTTTGATTCAGTTTGATGTGGGGGCGAGGTAGAAACACCTCTCATGTGTGGAGGGACCAGGGCTTTTTTGGGGCTCCTTGTGCCCTCCTGGGGTGTTGCTGGTAAAGGCTTGGTTGGAAAGGAACTCTGCTTCTTTGGCAGGGGAACAGGTGGTCTCGCAGCCCCCTCTTGTCCATACCACCCCTTCGAGGGTGATGCCATCTTGGAGGTTGGGGTAGGTGGCAATGGCATCTCTGTGGGGAGGAAAATTCATTCATAGCTTCTTACAATATCATAAATCAAGCTTGCAAACCAACAAAACAAAAAGAATACACAACCCAAATCAGCCTTTCAATACACACAGTGTCACTGACAAACGGTATTGGATGCTACCTGAAATGTCTGACCATTTCCAAAATCATATCAAGTTGCTTGAAAAACTTTTTTGGGGCATATCATGACACATGGAGAGTAGATCTTCACTAGTCAACAATCAGGGTCATTATCAGTATGACTACTACCTCGGAATGCTCCTACATCCCCAGCAGCTTCTGCTCCAACAGGTGTTACTCTGGGCCCATCCTCCAGCACCTGCAGGTAGTCCTCCTCTTCCTGCAGGTGCTCATCTGGGTCTGTGGGGAAAATTAAGTTTACTTAGTACTCTGTTCAACATCAAGTGCAAGCTGCCAACATGGGAAGAATGGAAGCATCTTTTCAATTAAAGTTGCACCCATCTAGAATACTTTCTTACAATAAAACCGTACGGTGATCATGTGCAAAGCCCCCATAGTGTTAACTGTGAATGAGTGTGTTGTATCAGATTTGATAGATATCAGCCAACCTTCATAATAGTGTTCCTCCTCATCAGTGTCCTGGTAAATTGGCGGCAATCCTGAGTCGTCACCATAGGCTGGATCAGGAACAATCACCTCTGGGTTTGACCCACGTCCACCGTGTCCTGCCCCTTGGACACTTGAGTTTACTGCATCCATTTCATTCTTCATGTTGAGCATCCAGTGCTGAAAGCACAGAGGTACAAGTTAGAATTCATTGTTGGAAAGGAAAAAGGTGGAATTTAGAAAAAAAACATAGGTGGGTTTACTGGTAGGAGTCATGACTCAGTTGTTTTCAGGAATGTCAAGAACAATCACGCTGTTTCCTATCTTGTATGTCAGGGCCCTGTGGCATTGTGTGGTGTAATGGTTAGAGTGTTTTTGTTGGAATCCTTTCCAGTGTGAGTGGATCAAACCTTACAGTGAATCTTGTGTGCCATGCTTACTGCCATCTTCCTTGTGAGGTTTATTAGAAATTAATGAAGAAGGACAAGAAGAAAAAGACTGTTGGTCCCACAAACCTGCATGTCCTGTTCATTAGAGGCAGAGAAGTACCATGTTCTCATCTGGGGGAATCTGCCGACAAGCAGAAAAGGCCATGGCAACTCTGTTGTCTCTACATCAACTGCCCGCATTATTCTGATAGGGGAAAAAAATATAACTTAAAGGATGCACAAAAACGATTTTAGAAACAAATGATATCAAAGTTTTATAATTTCTCAGGAAAATCCGAGAAAAAAAAACAATACTTTTCTGCATTACATATAATTGAATGATCTTGAAACTGAATACCTTCATGTACAATGGGTTGAATTTACGACCTGTAAATATTTGACTTAAAACCCAGGAAAATCTTTATCTAAGCAAATTATTAGACCAGGAAGGAAGGGCTGGACATTGGGCAAAGGGAAGGGGGATGGTTTTTGTCAGGCTTCCAACTGCAAAATGTTAAATTCCAACTTCCTCTATGTTAACTTGTGGTACAGAGCCAACTCATGCAAGTTTTGTTTCTCCCTTGCTACCCTCTATCCCACCATTCACTGTGACCTGCTGTGGTCCATCCTTACTTGGTGTAGTTTGACAGAGAAAAGGCTCCACAGGGCTTTTCAGATGTCTCATTCTTGAAGTAGTAAACACAGCCATCCTTCAGGATGACATATCTGTGTTTCCCTGGAGAATGAAAAATTAAATGATGAATAAAAGTGATCAGCAATAATGACAAAGATTCTATACACATTTCAGCTATATACTGTGTAATAGTACTACAAGGCCCCAGAATGTCACCAAGAGTCAGCAGGAATTATTACATTCACAAAAAATCAAAAGGAGCAGTTTTTCAGGCTGTATCCATACAGTATTAAAAAAATATTCAACAAAGAACTTACATATCATAAACCTTTGTGAGAGGACATCATTGCCTTTCTTCCGTAACCAGCCATAAAATATTGCCTTCCCATCAGACAGAAGTTCCTGAGCACTGATAGTGATGTGGGGTTCTGTGACACCAGGCTGAAGTAAAACACATGGACTGTTTATCAACAGGTATGTGTGATAGCATGAAAGTTCATCTGAGTCAGGGAAGGGGGGTGTTGACGGCTGAAGAGGACTGAGTGATTCAGTTAAAAATTCCTGTGAGTCCAATAGACAAAATGATTTGCTGAGTAAGTATGTCCAATCTTGGACAAATATTTGATAGTACATTTGTTTACTGGTTTATGCGTTCAATACCTTAATGAGTTTCATGTAATATAGTTGATAAATTAACCAATGCTATCACATCCGGACTCTATATCCTGTCCCTCACATCTGTGGTTACACCATTTTCCTCCCAACAACAGACACTCACACACAAACATATATTGAAGCAAACACACAAACTGAGGCACCAAAAATAAACCTCCTAACATTAAAACAAATAAAAATCATATTTCTACTCACTATTACATGTTTATCTTGTTGACCAAGAGCAGACAGAAAGGATTTTTTAACTCCCCCCAGCCCAGCTGATAGGGATAGTCTGTTCTTGGAGTCTTTCGCTCCAGCCATCCTGAGTGGGTGTGGCAGAGCCAAGGCCAAGCTAATCATCTGGAACAAAAGGAATAAAATATCCAAATTAAGCAAGTAAGCATATCTAAGGTCAGACTCATGTCATTTCTTTGGTTCTCACAACCATAGTCCAGCCCTGACACTCAAGACAAGGATGGGACAAGGTGAAGGTTCTCAGACACTTAAAGACTAAAACATTAACGGTGGACATAAAACAGATAGGCTAGGAGAAATTTAGTTGGCTACATTAACTCCAACAAGTTATGTGTACCATACATGTAAATCCTTGCTTCCCAACATTATTCCTGTGTTGGTATTCTAGTTCAGAAACATGATTAAATTCACTTGGCATGGTCTAAAGTAAACACTTCTCACATGTTGCCTGTTACTGTTACTGGATAAATGGCCTTTTGTTGGTAAGTATACAGATGAACAACAAAGCAACCAGGTCTACTTTCATGTAATGAATAGGACTACTGCCATGTTTTTGTTAGATTTTCAGACAGGGTGTGGCTGGTATGTACCATTTTGCACATTAAGTTCAAATTTACAATCTTCAAGACCTTTGTACCGACAATGTTACCCAAGGGCATTCATGTTATCAACAACACAAATGCGCATAAGGTATTGCAATGCAGAAATTTCAAATGTGTACAATAATGGGCACAGTGATAGTCTAGGCAAGTCATGGACATGAAGTATGTTTCCTTAAATAAAGGAGCAATGTACAGCACAACAATTAAAAAGCTGTGTAAAGAAACAATTTGGTCATAGTAAAAATCTAAGTCAATCATGTCCTATACTCCAACAAAAATATCCCCAGTGCACGTACAGGCTTTATTATCACTGAAAACATCTGTCATATGCAGATTAAATAAATAAAGTAAAACAACAAATTGCTAAATCAACCAGGTCTAAATAATTCAGACAATTCAAATTCAATTCATTGTAAACATGCACAATGTCGTTAAAAAAAAGGGATACATTTGTGACAACGAAGGTAGTAATTATGGAGCTTGAGATCTTGATTTTCAGTTTGACCAACTTATACAGCATTGTCACGTGCCTTAAGCTAAGAAAGGTAATTACTAACCAGACACATAATTATTTGTTATATAGGATTTTCTTTGGGTCAAACAAAACCCTCAGGATATACATGGCATTTAATTGTCTGGAGACATGAAGCACTGTAGCCTAGGTGTGGTCAGGAATCCAACTTCCACATTCTAGACCCTGTGATCGTGAACATTCATTAGATCAAAAGTCAAGAGGAACACCGCCAATAGAACTTATTTTTCCTTTTCTGAATAACTGTACCTAAAATGATCAACTCATAGAGAAGAATGTCCATATATGATATCATCAATATAACAAGAATAGTTGAAATCTGGGCATATCATAAACATGGCAGAATTAATTTTTTTACGGCGGCTGGTGGCAAATGTGCACACATTTGGACAGATTAACCTAAGAGGCTGGGGGGGGGGGGGTGTCACTCCACTGTCAGGGAAAGGAAGGTCCATGATAGTGTAAAGTGCCTTTCCCAAGGGCACAACATCGGGGCATGGTGTCAGTATTGAACCGGGGACCTATTGGTTCCGAGACCAAAGCTCTTACTGTTGGACCACCGACGCCACTGGCAGAAGTATCTTAAAGTTATAAACATCAAGTAAAGGGTAATTTTGTTCCTGTTTGAGAATCAGACCATACAAAATTAGTCATTGATTTTTTTATTTGGGGGCTGTACAGTATGTAATAAGGACCAGTGGATAGTAAAAATAAAATTGTTACATTAAGTAAAATTACTTGCCATTTAAACTTTTACAAGCATTGTAAGTAAAAGTACTAAGTTGCCCGTTAAGGTTTACAAACAAATCCACTACTTGCCATTTAGGCCTACAAGCAATGTTTATTTATCTAAAACGTAGCGTGCGTAGTCCAGTGGTTAGCGATTCTGCCTCTGGACTAAGAGGTTGGGAGTTCGAATCCCGGCTGATGTCGCTCACCCGACATGCACACTACTGTTTAGGGTCGCAGTCCTTCGGACGGGACGTTAACCGTGGTCCACTGTTCATTGTGCTTGTCGAAAAGAGCTAGGGGAATTTCCCCGGTACAATGAACCTGTAAATACTGTACATAGCGTCTGTCTTCTCAGTTCTCTGTCTTGACCAGGGGAAGATTAGCTCTTCTATGAGCTAAACTGGATCGAGATCACTTTCACTTTCTATTGTGTTTCACAATGCCACTTCTGGTTCAAAAGTCCTCATACTAAAACAATTCTTCCTCAAGAAAAATGTTGTAACTTACTTCTGTAGCTGCATGACTCACACAAGGGATGTGGATTTGTCTGATCAGTGAAACAGAAGAATTTCATTACATGACTTCCTCATAGGGGTATGGGAGTGATGCAGAAATTAACAAATGTTGATTATTAAATCGTAATCTGCAGATGAAAAATCCATTTTGTACGCTACACAGACTTTGTCTCGTCAAGGAGCTTAGAATTCACTTGATTTTTTAAGCTCCTTGATCTTTATCAGCCTCCACCCCTATTCTTCATGTTTTTGGCATGATTATTTTATTTGACTATTAACGTTAACCGTGAGTGAAACGGCACGAGACCTCCTTCCGTGCGGCACGATCGGGTCACGGCCAGGGTCACTGGCTGCTTCCGTTTCAACCTTATGAATAACGAACTAAGTGGGAACTCTCCGAATGTGTTACTTAGGCCAAGGCGTATCCATCCACAAACACATGATGTTGGGTCAACGGTAATGAATCCGTTTGGACCTCACCGCTGCGTAGACGTGGCGCATCGTCCTTCACGTGTGCGATCCTCGTGTGTTAATTAAATCATGACTAAGTTCGACGTGCGACCTCCGTGTGCCTAGATAATACTACAACCATCGCCTACGAAACTGAAAATGTGCTTGCTCCTGAATATATGCCGGTTATATATGCACCTCCATAGAACTATGGCCATGTCCTGAGCGGCCTATTAGGTTCCTCTATCATAAAACTATATAAGTTGACAAACAACGGACCGTTAACCGGAATTCTTACCGACAGGTTTCCTGGGCCCCTCTTCGTATCTCCAGGCTTCTTAATTTCGCTTCATGTTGAATACTTAAGTGTACATGGCCTCCTTCCTGGTCGGTAGTCTAACTGAACTTGGCTAAAGTTTGTGGAGTGTTGGGGGATGTAAAACTTACTTCCGGGAACAGCGGAACTCAATATGCAAATGAGGAGGGGTGGACAGGTTTGTATGGCGTTTACTTTGATTTTTATATGGTTAATGAGATTGAAAAAACATAGAAAATTTGAAAAATTCACATAGAAATAGATTTAATGAAGAGATAGGGAATCCAGAATTACCTGTAATAAGATCGCTAAATATTCTAGTTGAACATGATTGCTATAAAATGAAGTGGAATATTCCAAACCAAAAGGCCAAACCAAATGCATTGATTGTTGAGGATTTCTTTAGACTTGGACTGCACATTTGTACATACATTCAGCCAAGCGGGTTTACAGATCTATTACAATTCTTGAAGCACATGAAAACGTCCTAAATTGATATGTGATGCGTGATATACATAGATTAGCAGTAAATGATGAGGATATTGAGGACCTATGGCATCCCTGATCATGACACTGTTTAGGCCACACCAATTTAATTTGTTGGTTCTCGGATTTTTTCAGGAAAAATTTGAAGCGACAGGGCGAAAAAAAATAAAAATAAAAACAGATCTAAGCATCTTATTATAGCCCCAAATGCTACGATAGGAGGTATGAAGTCAACACAAAAGGCTGGTTCCAAAATTTAAACAATGAATTTTGAACTTCTAATGATACCACTGCATTGAAAGATGGAATAACTGTAAAGACTAGGAAGAAAAGGACTGTTTTCAACAATTCAGGGCAAAATATGAGCTATTTTGCAGTTGATTCTGAATTTTTTTTTTTTTTTGCAAATCAGGAAAAAATGAAGAGGCGAATCCGAGAACCAACAAATTAAATTGGTGTGGCCTTAATGTACATACCTTAGTTGTAGGTTTTCCATTGCCCCAGGGAAATGATGTTGAAGCCCCAGAATGGTTCTATCTGCTGAAGACTTTGTCTTACACCCAGCACACACCACAGGAACATACCAAGCACTGGTCCTCCTCACTCAGGAAACTGTTCAAAATGGGGTCCTACAAAGTACGAAGGAACAAAAAA